GGACTAATCAGAGTCAAGATGCATAAGTAACTGAGCAAAAAATATAGCTAAGACGGGATGGAGGCAATTGGTAAGACTTATGGCAGCAAATCAGCGTACATCATAACAAAATAGTTTACAAACAGATGCAAGAACTGAGTGATGTAAGCATAAGTAGTGAAATAAGAAACCGATATCTTTGTTAAGACCTGGGGGCTCCATTGTCCTGTGTGTTGTAATAACTCGTAACTCAGCAGTCTCCCATTCCAGCCTGTTTCTGATATTCCTTTGCAATAAAACAGCTACTTTGAGGTCCCCCACTGAGTGTCCTGGAAGGTGGAAGTGTTCTCCTACAGATTGCTCAGTTTTTTCGTTCTTGATGTCAGATTTGTGTCCATTTATCCTTTGGTGTCGGTGCGCGTGCACACGAAAGCTTATGCCCAGAATTAAACTTTGCTGGTCTTCAAGGTGCCCAGTCTGGACTCAAACTTTGTTCTGATGCTTCAGACCAACATGGCAGCCCCACCCGAATCACGGCTAAAAGTTGTTAGTCTTGAAGGCGTCGCAGGACTTCTGTTGAGTTTTGCTAGTAAGGACTATTGTGGCCAGAATCGTCCTGACAAGGTCATTTCCCCCACCAGACATGCAGTGACATGTCCACGCACGTGGGGTACCATGCAACTCGGGCCAGCAACTAAAATGCTTGAGTCCTGCTTAGTTCTAAACTTTGGAAATTTTCGCCTCAGTAAGAGTAATGGGCTTGTTTTGAACTCTCCACAGTTCTACTCCTTCTTGTGGGCCTGAATGTAATTTGCTGCATCTATGAACACGCAGGCTTTGAACACGTGAGCGCTTTGAGAGACAGAACGCAGCCCGTTTTATCGCTTACCTTAGATGTGTGATCTGATGTTAATGTCTGGATTTTATTTTCAAATTCTTTCTTCATCTCAAGGCAGTTATTTCCTCTGCGGATGAGAAAAAAGGGGAAATCCCAAACAAGCCCCACGCACTGAAGACCCCTTAACAAACGTTAACCAGATACCAGGAGCCCATATTGGACCAAAATTATTCCCTTTCACGCATTAGTCACAAACGACCAATTACTGTTGGTTTAGTGATGCCGAAATTAAATACGGCCCAATTATGCAATTATTTCCATGTCAGGACAATTACTCGACGACGTAAAGAATGTGTCAGAAGTTCCATTAACTAATCTCATCTACTTAGGAGCTATTTTCAAGGATAAGAATAAAACTCTCAAAAGGATTTCCCCCCTCCTTTTTTTAAAAATTTACTATGTGCCATTTAAGAAATCTCTGGCGAAGGGAGTTTTGACTTTCACAAACTTCTACCCCGGAAACTCCGGCTGGACTCCCAGGTGCTCCGGGACTAGAATCCGGCAGTTCTGCATCGGAGCGACACGGCCACCCTCTGGGAATAAAATTCCTGTTTGCTTATGAGCCGCCGGACAACATAAAGACATGAAAATCTTGCACCTGTCTTCAAATACCCATTCGGTCTTTATCAAACCTCAAAAAAACCCTGTACCCTATTAACAGCAAAAGGCCATTTTAAGTCACCCAGAGAAATTTTTTTGCTGATGTCACTCTGCAGGTAGTGGGAAGAAAACGGCGCGTCTGTATGGCAACGCCTTCCCTCCCAGGGCCGTCTCCTGGCATTGGTGGGCCCAGAGCAAAGAGCGCCCCAATGGCCCCCTCCCCTGCTCTGCCCACCACCAGCTCACGCCTTCCTTCCTGCCTACCTGTGACGCCCCCCACAGCTGCCTTTCCGTCCTCCCCCCCCCCCGGCCCCCCTCCCCCCCCCTTCTTCAACAGCGCTGGGTGCTGGGTGTGGCTGTGTGAGCCACCACTGTGACCTCAGGGAGCACTGCTGCGCACCAGAGAAGAAGAAGAAGAGATGGGATTCACACCCCATCGCCCTTCACTACCCGAAGGTGTCTCAGGGGGGCTCACAAACTCCTCTCCCTTCCCCTCCCCACAACAGACACCCTGTGAGGTGGGTGGGGCTGAGAGAGCACAGAGACTGCTCTTTTTCAAGGACAGCCCTTATCAGAACTACGGCTTGCCCAAGGTCATCCAGCCAGGTGCCAGTGGAGGAGGAGTGGGGGAATCAAACCCGGTTCTCCCAGATTAGAGTCCGCGCCCTTCACCACGACACCAAAATACAACACAGCCGGATTTTTCTTGATGCTCCGCACGGGCAGCCAAAAGGGAGAGAGGAATGAAGAGTGGAACAAATGGTGCTGGTGGTGATGGGGACGGAGGGATGGGGGCTGGAGCGAGTGAAGGAAGCAGGGAAAGGGGAGAAGGTCAGTACTTGGTCCACTGCTTTTTAACTTGTTCATTAATGATTTGGAGTTGGGAGTAAGCAGTGAAGTGGACCTCCTGGTATGGCACCTGGTATTTCTGGCCACTGTGTGACACAGAGTGTTGGGCTGGAGGGGCCACGGGCCTGATCCCACACTGGCAGCGTCTCTTATGTTCTTATTTGGGGTCTGCTGGAGGAGGGAAGAAAGGGTAGGAGGGCCAGTGGGGGGACTGGGGAAGGCAGGTGAGAGGGAGGGAGGGAGGGAGGGGAGAGAGAGTGGAAGGAAGGGGGGAGGGAAGGAAGGAAGGAAGGAAGGGAGGGAG